TGTGTTAAATAACAAAATAATACATTATAGAATTAATGTTAGTAAACTCAATAAAGATTTATAATAATTTATAGTAACATCATGATTATTGAAGATAATTGGTGATCTTCATCTTCAAGAACATGATCAAAGTGTTATAAGCAATAATGATGAGGAAAATTCCCAATCCGAGGAAAATGTATCGGGAGCGAGTTGTTGTTGATGGATCAGCTGCCCAATTCAATGAAATAAATCCAAGTCCTCCTATTGTGAATAAGAAACCAGCACTGAATCCTTCAATCACGTATTGAGCGTTTAATCTATATTCAAGAACTGCTACTGGTCTAACTCTTCCGTCAGCATCTCTTCTACTACCAATAGATGGAGGTTCATTGATCATATCGTAAACAATACCGGAACAAATAACAAAGTATGAAGCAAGAAGAAGAACAAAGACGAGCATCTTTGGAAGACCCTTTTCAAAGATACTTGGTAATTTAAGTTTGATATCAGGTGCTCTGAGAGCAGAAGTGTAGATGGCTTTAAAGATTGGGAAGAGTGGATCCATTTTTTAAAAATTTTATTCTTTTTTAATAAATATTAATTTATTATTCAAGTGGTGATGATCTACAATCGCAAGTATGGTAATTAAAATTGTTTTTATTGAGAAGTAAATCATTATATAACAGCAGTATATCTGGATGATATGATGCTTTAACACTTATACAACTTCACAAGGCTTGTTTTATTAAGCCATTATTAAAAAAGTTGTAAATATGTTATCATTGTTTTTCCAAAGAGTTCGCAAGGGATGAAGGTGTCCAAAAATTATTCATGGGTATTTTCCTATGTCTATTGAATAATTCAATGTTAATGTAATAATCCGATAGAAATAGTTCAATGATGATTTCGAGAAATAATTGACGAATTCCGATAATTTATATCGATAACGTAGTGGAACATTAATGCATTAAAGCATGACAAAGATTAATTGATGAATATTTATTGTTTTTGGCTTTTTTTCATGTTATTCACCAGCTAAAATTTCTTATTGTAAAATCCAGGATAGACTAGTCATCCCAAAAATTTTAAAAATTTTGTTGAAAAAAAAGTCGAAAAAAGTAAGTTCTCTCACGCCTATCACAGGTCGCTAAACAACATCAACTAAAGACATGTCTTCTGCAATTGTTAAGAAGGAGCAAACCGCCCCAGAACAATCCACCAAGGAACCAATCCACAGAATCAGAATCACCTTGACCGCCAAGAACGTCAAGGCCCTCGAAAAGGTCTGTGCTGATTTCGTTAGAGAAGCCAAGAACAAGAAGGTCAAGAGAGTCAAGGGTCCAGTCAGAATGCCAACTAAGATTTTGAAGATCACCACCAGAAAGTCTCCTTGCGGTGAAGGTACTAACACTTGGGACAAGTTCGAAATGAGCGTCCACAAGAGAGTTATTGATTTGCACGCTCCAGCTTCAACTGTTAAGGACATTACTTCCATCTCCATGGAACCAAACGTTGAAATTGAAATTACCGTCTGTGACTTGTAAACGTCTACAAATAAAAAAATAAAATTATATAAAAATACAATTAAATTATTAATTTGTTAATCCATCAAATCATTAGTATAATCATGGGTGTCAAAAAGATTGTATGATGGATCTGGTGTTGAAGATGTTTGTCTATTTTCTTGGTGTTCCACTCATTGCTAGCAAAACTTTCTCAAGAGAGGCTTGGCGCGTACAGATAAAAATAACAAAAAAAATAGCCTTCCTCTCCCGCCACATTCATCTTGCCTCTTCTTCATCTCCTAATAGTGATCGAAATTAATACAAATAATTATTTGGACAAATTTAATACATTGATGGAGAAGTTATAATGGCAAATCAAGTATATGAGGATAACGAAGAACATGAGGATAATACATCATACGATGATGAATATTCACCGATCGAGGATATTTCGGAGGGTGCTCTAGACTATAAAGATCCAATGAGAAGAGTTAAAATTTATCATTTGAGTGATCTTGGAGAGTGGATTGACAAGGGAACAGGACATATTCACTGTGAAACTCAGGTATGTTTGAAAAACATGAATTTCCAACAACAACAAAACAAAAAGGATAACGAAACTAACCTTGTATTAGTCTCAGAGTCTTCCGATGAACGTTTATTATCAACACCAATCTCAACAGATGATATATATGCTTTACAAAATGGTTAGTATTACCTTGTTTTTTTACAATAATTTTTGTTAATAATTTCTGTAGCAACTTTAATCGTTTGGAATGACCCAGTTCAAAAAATTGAAATGGCTCTTAGTTTCCAACATTCTGATGGATGCATTATGATATGGTAAGTCTTTTAACATCTTGTTATTGTTAAACAATTATTTAAAGGAATGAAATCAGGAAAGTTCAAGGAAAACCTCCTGATGGAAAGGAGGTTGTTGCAAGAAACAATCAAGAAGAGGAAAGTGTAGATGATGAAATTGTTGGTATGGGACTAAATGGAAGTTCTCTAAGTATTGGATCAACAGGTAGTAGTTTAGGAAAAATTGAGTTACCTGAACCTAGTATTAGTAATCTAACAGCTATACTATCTATAATTACCGATCATAGATTCAGATTACCAAGTTATATCAAGTCTGATTACATTTTAAAATTGTTCCAGGTTTTTGATGATTGTGAGGATTTGGATAGTGTTGAAAATTGTCGGATTTTATTCAAAATATTCTCTGGAATTATAGCAATTGATGATCTTGAAATATTGGAGATACTATTTTCTAAAAACAACATCATGAAGTTAATTGGTGTTTTGGAATATGATCCAGATTTACCAACAAAAAAAGCCAATCATAGAAACTTTTTAAATAATCGTGTAATTTTCAAAGAAGTTATTCCATTCAATAATCATAATGTTTTGGATAAGATTCATCAAACATTTAAAATACAGTATATAAAGGAGACGATTTTGGCATCAATTATTGATGACCAAACATTTAGCACATTAAGCACAATAATATTCAAGAACAACACAATGATAATCAATTCCATCAAGGAAGATCAGGAATTCTTGAAGAAGGTATTTTCAACCCTATTAGCAGATGATACTCCAAAAGATAAACAAAGGGACCTTTCCAAGTTTCTTTCTGAATTCTTTGCATTGCTAAAACATCAAAATATTAACAATAAGATAGATACCTACAAGTAAGTTGACAGTTTTTAACTTGTTTTATTTAATAATATTTCAGGAGATTAACTCTAGATCATCAATTATTGGATGTTGCAGAGAAACATTTACAAAATGAAAATGTTTCAATCAGACATATTTAGTAAGTACTTTATAATATTTAATTCTAATGCATTATTATTCTAGTTCCGAAATACTTTTATCTATAGCACAGACGATTCATCTCTCTTTCCTAGGAGAAATCAAACAAAGACATTTAAGAAATGATTTCAACTTGCTAAAGGTAATAATCAAAACTATTGTCAGCGAACCAGAGCTGGGCATTCAAGACAATTTGACAGAAGTCATAAAGTTATTATTGGATCCAGAGACCCTCCTTACCAACTCTGACGTATTCATTGACCAATTTTATAAGCATCATGTTGAATTGCTTGCATCTCCAATTTTAAATCCACAGACTACAATTAATCATTTCACAAAACCTTCCATCAAAGTCAGTTGCATTAATCATGCATTGGACTTACTTTCCTTTACAGTAATTCATCACAAACACAGAAGTAAGAACTTTTTAATAGCGAATGACATTATATCTAAGGCCGTTCATTTATTGGATGTTTATAGGGAGAAGGATTTGATACTTGGCGTAATTAGATTCTTCAAGTCTATTATTTCGAGGGGTGACTTGCTACTTTGTACAAATATTTTGACCAACAACCTTTTTGATCCAATCATGGAAGTTTGGAGAAGAAATGGCTCAGTTTACAATCTCATTAATTCTGCAATTATAGATTTATTTGAAGCATTAAGAAATACCACAACTGGTAGACTTAAGCAACATTGTGTCGAACGATTCAGACAAGATTTTGAAGCTGTTAATTATGTTGAAACATTTGCTCAACTTATTGAGGAATGTGATCAACAAGAAAATTCTGAAAACAATAATAATGTATCTCAACAAGAAAGTGATGATGCCTACTTTAATGACAATGAAGAAATGCACAAGTCTATGATTGCACAAGATTCACCAGAGCGAGCTTCTGTTGAAGAAGAGGATGATTTTTTCTTTACTCTTTCGAAACATAAGGGTAGCAATCAAGATGATGACGATGATGAATCTGATATTTACTCTAATAGAGAGAAGAATGATATGGAGACCTCATCACCTCATTCTCCACACAAATTGCAAATTAGTTTGAAAACCAATACCACTTCACCAACCAAAGGAGAGGTGGAACCAAACCCTAAGAAGGTTAAATTTTAGTAATTTATAATAATAAAGAATTTAATTGAAACTCTCTAGGTATCCCAACAACATCCAAACAAAACACAAACAGATATATACCACTAACAGTCCATTAAGGATAAATATTCATAATGAATGTATTCCCGTGTAGTCCAATGGCTAGGATACCTGGCTTTCACCCAGGAGGTCCGGGTTCAATTCCCGGCATGGGAGAATACTTTTTAATGTTGATAAAACCAATTTTATTTGGTATTGATTAAGGAATTTGGAGAATAATTTTTCCAACAGTTCTATTGGATTCACTCATTTTTTGAGCTTGTGAGGCTTGATCCAAACTTAGAATATGAATTGGAATGTCTTTCCATAAACCACTTTCACTCAACCACTTTAAGATAACTGCCAATTGATCACCATCCCTTTCAGCATACAAATTTTTGGCTCTTTCACTTCCAAAAACCTTTCCAGAAATTCCTTGAGGTGTGTGAACAATTGTAACAAATTGTGATTCTTCATCTTGTTTGAGCAATTCAATGGAATAGTATTCTTGATAGGATCCAACAAAATCCAACACTATATCAAAGGTACCTTTCAAAGATTCCAATTCATGAGTGAGATATTCCTTTCCCTTAGTGTAATCTAACACTTGATCAGCTCCCAACTTTCTAACAAAGTCTGCATTCTTTGCTGATGAAATGGTAACAATCTTTTCAGCATTGAAATAATTCTTGGCAAGTAAAATACCTGACATTCCAACACCACCACTTCCACCAATGATTAGAACTTGTTTTCCTCTCAAGGAGTCTTTTTGTCCACTCTTACTTGATGGATGTCTGAGGAAACATTGAAAAGCAGTCAAGAAAGTTACTGGACACGAGGCAGCAACTTGATGACTAATTGATTCTGGATTAAGAGCTGCTTGAGATTCAGAGCAGACAACATATTGACTGTATGTTCCTCTGATGTGTGTCATGTTACAACCACAAACTGAATCACCAATCTTGAATTTGGTTACTTTGGAACCAGTGGCAACTACAATTCCACTAACTATTCGAAGGTAAGAATGAAAAATATTAAACTTACAATCAACTCCAAGAATCGTTGGATATGAATTAATATAAAACCCATATTGTCTTACTTTACAATCTAATGGATTAACTCCAGCATATTGATTTCTAACAAGAATGTCATCTTCATTCAATTGTGGTAAATCAAATTTATGGTCAATTACAATGTCATCAGCACTGACATTGGCAGATTTAATAATTGCAGCAGTTTGAAAGGTTGGAAGACTTGACATTTTAGAGATGTGTATTCTTTTTTTATGATTTGAATTTTGAATTGCTTATCCAGTTAAAAAAGTTGACTTGTTTTTATAGTGTTTTGAAAAGTGTGCGCAGCAGAAATAATGTATTCTATCGCGGTAATTAAGCAACCAATCAGAAATGGAGCGCTGATTTTGGGATATTTTGACTTTCGCAAGGTTAATTTTTGATTTTCTTGTCAAGGTTCACCATCACCAGCAAATAGCTGTATTAGTAGCTGTAGTTCTTTTACTTGCTTTTGTAAAGTTCATACTTTACAAAAAAAATGCTCAAACGGAATGAAGGAGGCCGAGTTGTGATTTTCTTGGATTTTTCTTTGGAATCAAATTTGCTTTTGCAAAAATTCAAAGACAAACTACATCATTGAAGGAATATTGTAAGAAACGTGATGAAATATTAAACAAAAGACCAGAATTTATTCCATTGGAGTTTTATCGGGATTGTCAAGTGTTGGTTAAATATCCACATTTATTGGAGAATTTGCTGATTACAACGGATAGGGAATTTATTTTGTATTTTGTTAGATCGAGGGATGATCACATTCATTCAGTTTGTAGAGCTATTTCAGATACTTTGAAATGTGATGAATTATTTATTAGACAAGCCATTCAAGCTAATTATCAAATGTTTAAAGTTCTTCTTGAAAAACGTAATCAAGACTACAACAGAAAAAGAACAAGCAAGATACGTAGAGGTCGATTCAAAGACGAGGGAAGTGATGACTCTGGAGATGAGGATAATATATCAATTGACTGGGAGTATTTCATTAATTTGAATCCAAAAGTTCTAAGATTTGTCAAAAATAGATGGAAAGAGTTGGATAGAGAAGTAGTTTTACAAGCTTTGCGAAAAGATATTATAGCAATTTATTCATTGCAAGCTCTTGACAGAGAAATGGCATTGTTGGTAGTTGAAACCAATCCATTGGCTTTGAAATATGAACATGGAGTTTGGCAGAATGATAAAGAAATTGTACTGAAAGCAATATCACAAAATAAGAACCTACTTGTGTATGCATGTGATTCGATCATTGAAGAAGTGTTAAGAAACAGAGAACTCATTGAATATTCTCAGGAGGATGTCATTAATTTAGTATTGAATGGTGTGAAGGAAAAGCCATCTTTATTCAATTACCTTCCCGAACATATGAAAACAAATCATGAATTTGTTATCAAATTGGTAGAATTGGACACAAGAATATCCGAGTTCATTCCAGAATCTTTAAAACAAAACAGAGAATTTCTAATGGAACTGGTCAAATATGATAGAAATGCATTTTACAATTGTAAAGATATGGATCTGAGGGGGAGTAGACAATTTTTATTGAACGCCCTATCCACTTACAGGTTCTCACTCTCCAGTGCTCCATCTCATCTCAAAGATGATAAGGAATTTGTAATGGAATGTTTAACTGCATATCCTGCAGACTTGGATGAAGCTTCATCTCGTTTGAGAGATGATGAACAAGTGGTAGAATTGGTTTTAAAAGAATTTAATAACGCATCAAATAGATTGAAAGATGATAAGGACTTTGTAATGAAACACATTGAAGAATTTCCTCAAATGTATCAGTCATTGAGTCAGAGATTGAAAAGCGATAAGGAAATAATTCTAAAATGTGCATCTGGAGGTGGAGTTATTTCAAATGGTTATTTCTTTCACGACGATGACTTTGTATTAGAATTGGTGGAAAGAAATGCTCATATTGTTGAAACACTGGGAAAGATAACGCCAGAGTTTGCTAAGAAATGTATTGAGCGAAATGGCTTTTGCTACCATTTATTGAAACAACACTCTATGGTAACAGAATCTGACGAATTGGATCAATTAGCAGCTCTTTCTCGTGGATATTTAGCTGATAAACATACTGAGGATATTAGACCAACATATGGATTTCACAAAATCAAAACTCGCACAAGCTATGAGGATAGAGAAATTGTGGATTCATGGATTAAGAAGAGATTGGAGAAGCAATATGATGGGTTATATATTTCACTCAGCTCGCCAATATTTGTAAAGGGAAAGTTTGTGAATACCCACATTAAGGGATGATTACCCATTATGTGAAACCTTACTAATTTGAATTTGTCTTTATTTTGGATAAAGTATTGAAACTAGGAAGCTCAGCAAACTTCAACACTCTTCTTTTTATAATTTTTAAAATGTATGCAATAATGTAGCAAGTACATGATATTTATGAAATTATAATTCCAATTTTCATTATTATTAGTAATTATTCCCATTTCTTTATTTGTCCATTAAGGATAAATTTTCAAAATAAATGTATTCCCGTGTAGTCCAATGGCTAGGATACCTGGCTTTCACCCAGGAGGTCCGGGTTCAATTCCCGGCATGGGAGAATACTTTTTTAATTATGGACTTTTAATATTGTTAAAAATTAATTTTATGTTACCACATGAGGTATTGAATAATTTAGAATTTGCATTAAGGAATGTGGAGAATGATCTTTCCAACAGTTCTATTGGATTCACTCATTTTTTGAGCTTGTGAGGCTTGATCCAAACTTAGAATGTGAATTGGGATGTCTTTCCATAAACCACTTTCACTCAACCACTTTAAGATAATTGCCAATTGATCACCATCCCTTTCAGCATACAAATTTTTGGCTCTTTCACTTCCAAACAATTTCAACAAAAATCTATGAGCCTTTTCTTGTCACATTAATAAAAATCTGCCATGTTGTTCAATTAACCACAATTTAATAACACTCATCGTCAGGATAATCCACAATTCCATACATGAGAATATTGGAATAATCACAATTTATAACAACAGAATCCATTACTTCCTTTTCCATTTGCTTTTTCGTTTCCTCTGCTTGTTTACGATACAATTTAGCTTTTTCTTTACCCACCTCAAAGGTTGCTACGCACATTGATTCATAATCCATGTCAGATACATGGTTACGCTCAACAAGCTTTGAGTATAGATGCTTATCAGTCCTATAGATGTATTCCACAATTTTGCTTCTACATGGTTTTGCATGTTTCGAAATATCTGTGTGGGTATCGGTTGAGATCAGATTCATGTCGTTAGATATTGGGCCAACAATTGAAAGAACTACAAACGAGGATAAATCATTGTAAAAAGCCATGTCCATAGTAAGAATCACATTCTTGTTTGTTTTCAATTCATAGGTTGTTCTTGTAACGCTAAAACAAAATGAATACCCTTTCGAATGGATAAGAAATTCTAAATTTTTGCACATGTTGGACTTTTGGCACTCTTTCCTCTTGTAATTCAAGGTTTGGTTACACTTTGTGGTATGTTTGAGCGAAATTTGAGGCTCCTTAGAATAGGTTGTTTTTTCCTTCAGCCAGTAATTTTGTTCCATTAAAACATATTCTGATAAATCATAAAAAGTTTCATTGTAGGATGTTTTTGATTTGAATGTAAACAGAGGAAGAAGACTTTTTTCTAACTGCTCCTTGCCCATAATAAAGTTGAATTTTGTAATGATTGCACTGTCGTGGGCAACATGATCTAATAAACAATCTTGATATACGAATCTTGTGTTCAATGTATGATTGTTTAAAAGTTATTAAGGTAAAAAGACTACAGCACCACAGGTTCCCAAGTTGTCTCCAACCTCAGTACTGATGTGGCTCGACGATGCTTACCTTCTCAAATCGGACGGGATGAGATGCATTCATCGTGATATGGCCGTAGCCATTCATTTATTTAAGTTCTGAGTCATAAATCTTTAAGCAACAGTTAGGATTGTAAGGAATATATTTTAATCAAGATTTTGGTTTGTTCTTCACTATGAACATGCTTGACTCACAACGTTGATCACAGCTAAGCCATTGTGAAAATAATTGAGTCAAGCATGTTCATAGTGATCAACGTTGTGCAGGATGTAATAGTTAAAGTTCATACTTTGCTCAAAATGGGAAGTTACTACCCTTAATAAGACCAATTTAAAAGAAAACATTCATGTTCAATTTAGGAACTTTTAGAATTTTGACTTATTTTATTATCATCCACAAAGAAACCATTGTGCCAGCTCTTGTTGGTGCTAAATATGCTTGATTTGGGTTATGTAAATTTCAAAGTGCAGAACATTTGAAAAAAATGCTGAAAAACAGCATAACAGTAGATTTGAGCGGTAAGGACGGAGAAGATGGTCATCAAGGCAAGAGGTAAGAGTACATACCTCAATTTTTTTGATGTTAATATGTTGCCGAATTAGTGGACGTAATGGTGAAGTGGGAAAGGTAATGTTTCTAATCTCCCTTAATCATCATAAAATCACTGTTGTAAAATAGTCAGGGAAAAGTGGACAAATATCTGCCTTAAATAATGGAAATGGAAGTCATGGAGAACCAGGAGGACCGTAAGTATATATTGCTGGAGTGAAATTAGCCATGTGTTAATAGAGGTGGAGATGGAGAGAATGGTGGAAAGTAAGTTCTAGCTGTTATTGAGTACTTGACCTTATTTAATATTCCTTCTCAACAACAGTGGAAAAAAGGGGCAACACGCAACAGCTGGTGGAAATATTTAAGTAAAAATTGAGGGATCCAATCACAAGTTAATCACTTTGAGTGGAAGTATCAATGATTCTGTGTGTTTGAATGATGGTGCTGGACAAGTTTTGGTGTTTCTGGCGAATGGTGGAAATGGTGGAAAGTGAGTATCAGTGTAGCTTTGATTTGAAGTGCTTACAATTATAGAGGTGGACGTGGAGGACCAGGTGGTAAGTTGCTGAATAGCAAACACGACTGAGAATGTAATTCATTCAGGAATGGGGGGAGTCGGCGGAAAAGGAGGAACTGGAGCAAGAGGTGGTAATGGTAGCTCTGGAGGTAATGGTATGAATGGTCAAGATGGTGGCAATGGAGGAAAGTAAGTATTGAATGATTGAGACAATTTTGAAACTAATAATTATTTCAGTGGTGGCGTGTAAGGAGAAATACAAGTTTAGTTAGTTGATTGAAATTTAGTGCTGGAAAAGGAGGAAATGGTGGAGAGTAAGTTTTAATAATTGGTTGGAAATTCATATGTGCGTTTAACAAGTGGAGGGGAAGGATCCAAGTAGGTTTTTCAATTATTACAACTATTTTAATGTGGAATAGTGGTGGAAATGGTGGAAATGGAGGAAGTATTCTTATTGAAACAAATAATGCTTCCTTGTTGAAGTTTGTCAAAGCAGAAAGTCAACCAGGTAAAGGAGGAATGGATGGAAAAGGTGGCTCTGCAGGAAGTGCAGGTAAAGGAGGAGAGAAAGGACCTGGAGGACCTGGTGGTAGAGGTGGTGCAGGAGGAGCTGCAATGGGAAGAGGAATAATCAATACAAGATCTGGATCCAATGGAAGGAATGGATCAGATGGAAAATCTGGACAAAAAGGTCAAGAAGGAAGGAAGGGAAATCCAGGACACACTGGACAAGATGGTACACCAGGAAATTTAACCATTAGAGTCTATGATCCTCTTACTAATCAACTTGTGGAGGAAGGTCATTCAATTTATAATTTGGTGGTAACAACATTCGAATTGTGTGGCTATGAAAATGATGGAATTTTTGAACCAGATGAAAATGTCTTTATTACCAACGTTGGTGTTAAGAATCAAGGAGGATTGACATTACCATCAGGTTCAGTTCTCTCATTTCCAAGCACTCAAACATTTATTTCAAACGGTGAATGTTATGTTTTGGAGAAGAATTTGGCACCAGGCGAATTCTTTTCAATTCCTTTCCAATTTTATGGTCGAGTTGTTGGAAGGAAACAAAAACAATTTGGCCCTTTCAAGTCAACAATTAGCATTCAATCAAGTGCTTGTCTGTTAACTTCTCCATTTAGTGAAGGTTTTGTTAAGAAGGAATATCCAGTTCAGTATCCAATAGTATTGGAAAGTGTGAAAGTTCCTAAAAGTTTGGGAAGAAATGAAAAAGGAACAGTTACAATCACCGTAAAGAATCAATCTCTTATCAATTATGGCTCTTCATTGGGTGATGGATACAGAATTAAGTTTTGTTTAACTCTGGATTCAACGTATATCATTCTAACAGAAACAAGCGCAACTAATATATTTGAAGAGGAAATTCCCTTCATCCAAGCAGGAATGTCATACTCTAGAACGTTTAACATTGAAACAACTATCAATGCCCAATTCTATGAAACCATTCCAATTCAAACAAATTTATTTTTGAGAGGACATCCTATTGAGGAATCATTGAACTCCATTCGTATTCAACCAACATACATTCCAACTAATCTCGATTCTCCAAATCCTTTCGATGTGCTCTTCTTCTCAGATAAGCACATTAATAGGCAGGAATTTTCAAATTACATGTCCCTGCTTGGTAGAATAGGATTGAACGTGAATGTATGGGATATTGAGAGATACGGTGGACTATCTTATAATAATAAGGGTAAGAGACATACAAAATCATGGATTGATGGTGGTTATGAAGGTAAAATGATAATAATGCCTCTTATGGAACAAGGCTCTGAAAAACAAATGGCTGTCTCAGATATTTTCCAACATTTCAGGGGCAAAAATTGGCAAAATGATTCATCAAAACCAAACAATGGATCTATCGTTTTTATCGGTAACCCTTCTGATTCATTCAAAAGTCAACTCTTTGGCGAATGCTCAGCCCAACAAATCCCAGAATCTGAACTAAGAGAAATGTTTCTGCTTTCTGAACCGAATGAAAGCTCAATGCTTAAGAAAGCAACAGAGTTTATTAAATCCCTCAATAAGACACATCCATCAAGGGTTTATAGAACTGAAAATGTGTTATTCAATCCTCAAAAAGATGGCTCATTATCAAAAACTTTATTAGGATCAGCTGATTATAAGGAATTACCCTTAAGCACTGCTGATGCTTTATATTTCATTCCAACAAAGAGTGGAAACTCTTCTGGATTCATGAACGGAGGTATTACACTTCAAATTGAAAGCAAATCAAATATTGGAAAATTGCTTAACACTATTCTATATTCACTTCCTGTTGAGAAAAAATTGGAATTGTTAAGGAAACCAACCGAATGGCTTTCCAAAGTTCAAATTAAGGATGAAAATGGTGATTTACTTAATTATGTAACTTGTATTATCTTTGCTCTAAGCTTTAATCTGTTTTTGGAAATAATTTACAACGATGAAAATGGAAGATTTTCAACGGGTATTGAAGCAGATTTTGAAGCACATTTTGATGAATATAAGAATCATCCTCAATCCAAACAAATTGTTGAAACTCTATATTTGGTATTAAAGAAACTTGGCAGTGAATTAAAATGGAGAGGAACATCGGTACCTAGCATTAAGGAAAGGAAAAACCTATGAAACTGTTTACAAAGATTTGAAAAGCATTCTCCTCAAGATTTCATCGGAACCTGCTGAATTTTTGAAGAAGGAGACCAAGACTCGTATTGGTTCTATTTCAACGGATCACTTCTTATGTCAGTTGGAGAATTTCACTAGACCACTATTGGAAAGTTATCATTTGGAAATGGAGAAGGAACTTAGTGTGGATGGAGGAGATCATGGACATTCTCATTGACATCCTCATTGAAAAATATCACTGGAATGAAGTTGTATTATTACTCAGTTTGGTGAACTGTGCAATAAAAAAACAACTTTTAAATTCATAAAACTTTTATTGTCGTTTAAGTACCTTACTCAACCAGATACAATAATAATGCAATTTCAAATGGAGCCAGTGCGACATCTCTAATTTTACTTGGAATTCAAATTATTCTTCAAGATAGCCCTCCACACTTGAATAAATATTCTCTCTCACGACAGTATCAGTAACTTCTTCAAATCCTTCAATATTATTTTCCTCATCATCATCGTCACTATATTTACTAGGATTCACTTGTCCCTCTCCAGCTTTACGAACCAATTTTTGTACTTCGTAGATAATGGCATAAATTCCATCTTCATCATTACTCTTTGGTTATTTATTCTCTTTGGTTAATCTTTTCATTACATTGCTGATTTGTGTGCTAACTTCATCATCACCTGCATCAGTATACATTCCATACATTTTTTTCTTTTGTGTGGCTGGTATGTTAAAACAATGATGAACTTAAACATCCTAAAGGTTTACATTCGGTGAACATAAACAATTCTAGAAAAAACGAAATTTTGTAATGGCATTCTGAGTTCACATTCAATTTTTATCAGTTTCCATTCAATACAACTTTCCATCTATACCTCTAAATAGACTGGTTAATTGTTTTACTTCTGATGTAACATTTACAATGACACATAATCAAGCAAATCTTAGAGATAGATATTCGTAGAATTAGTTGTTACTGTGAAAAACAACCAACTTCCCAAACTAATCTTCGGAGTTGTTTTTGGAATTTTGTCAACTCCTCAACTTCTTTAAAAAGAAGGACATTATGATAATCTTATACAAGAAAAAAACAACAAAGATGAATCACAAAGGTTTTGCATTGCTTCTTGTGTTAACATGTCTGTTGTTTATTACCATTCATCCAATAATGACTAGTGAACAAATTATTCGAAACCTTGCCGGTCAAGGAATATGTGATGGTCATTTATCAACAAATGCACCAGTCAATCCCAGTGATTGTGCCTTTTTGGATGAAGAAATGTTAATTGCAGATGCCACTAATCATAGAATTCGTAAAGTTTTCACAAATGGAACAATTGTAACCATAGCTGGAAATGGATTTGCTGGTTACAATGGAGATGGTTTAGATGCAACAAGTGCTCAATTGAACAATCCAGTTGGCATTTATGTTGATACCAATAGTAGAGAAGTTTACATTGCTGATTCTAATAATCATCGAATTCGTAAAATATTACAGAATGGAAAAATTACAACAATTGCTGGAACAGGAATTGCTGGCTACAATGGAGATGACAAAAGTGCAGACAGTGCCCAATTGAACACCCCAAGTGGAATTGTTATTGATCCAAATAATGGAGAAATTTTCATTTCAGATTCTAAAAATCACAGAATTCGTAAAATTTTACAAAATGGTAAAATTACAACAATTGCTGGAACTGGAGAAGCTGGTTACAATGGAGATGGAATTGAGGCAAAGTTTGCAAAATTGTATCTACCAAACGGAATTGATTTGTATGAGAAAGAGTTGTTTATTGCTGATCAAAATAATCATAGAATTCGTAAAGTTTCGCTTGATACTGGACTAATTTCAACTATTGCTGGAAATGGAAATTCAGGTTACAATGGAGATAACATTCTGGCAACAAACTGTAAATTGAGTTTACCTGCAGGAGTTAGATACGATTCGAAAAGAAGAGAAGTTTACATTGCTGATTCCAACAACCAAAGAATTCGTAAAATATTAGAAAGTGGAATAATTGTAACAATTGCTGGAACAGGAGAAGCTGGATTTGATAATATTCTCAATGCTACCCAATCAAAGGTTAATCATCCTAATAGTGTTACTTTGAACGAATTAGGGGAAGTTTTCATTTCAGATTCACAAAATTATCGAGTACGAAAGATTACAACAGAAAGTGGAATAATTACAACAATTGTAGGAAATGGATTTGAAAAGTATTGCACAGATTTAGCTAGTAACACACCATTGTTTTATCCTCGTGGTATAATTTCGAATGAAAATGGAGAATTTTTCTATGCCGATTCTAGCAACCATTGTATTCGAAAAATTCTGACAAATGGTACAATTCTTACAATTGCTGGAACAGGTACTAAGGGTTACAATGGAGATGGAATTGAAGCAACAAGTGCTCAATTAAATACTCCTCACGATGTTGCATTAAACTTGGCAACTGGCGAGATTTACATTGCAGATACGGAAAATAATAGAATAAGAAAAATTTTGACAAATGGTACAATTACAACAATTGCAGGAACTGGAGATTATGGATACAATGGAGATGGAATCATGGCTGTAGATGCATGGTTGAATGAACCGAGTGGTGTTGAAATTGATTCCACTAGCGGTGAAGTTTTCTTTTCTGATACTGAAAATTTCAGAATTCGAAGAGTTTCGAATAGTGGAATAATTACAACAATTGCAGGAACTGGAAAATCAAAATTTAATGGAGATGGTATGGCAACAGACACGAATCTTGCTACTCCAACTGAAATTCAATACGTTCCAAGTACTACTGAAATTTATTTTGCTGATTCTGGAAATAATAGAATTAGAAAATTTACTATAAATGGAATGATGACAACTATTGCTGGAACAAGCACAAGTGGATATAATGGTGATAATATGCCTGCAACACGTGCTTGGTTGAATTTTCCAGTTGGTGTAACATACGATCCAAAAACCAATCAAGTTTATATTGCCGATTTATCTAATCACAGAATTAGAAAAATTCTGACAAATGGTACAATTACAACCATTGCTGGAACAGGAAAAGGAGGTTATAATGGTAATAACTTGACAGCCTTATCCACTCAAGTGAATGGACCTCATGGAATGATACTACAACCGAATGGTGATGTAATCTTTTCAGATAGCACCAATAATGTCATTAGAATTATCAGATCTGATCAAATTTATTGTAATGGAACATTGTCAAGTGATTTGAATGTTTGTAATGGTCGTGGTTGGTGCATGGAGAGTGGAAAATGCTCTTGTCAAGACGGATGGATTGGTGATTATTGTTCAGAGCCAACATGTGAAAATGATTGTTATGGACATGGAAGATGTGTTTCGAATAATACATGTGAATGTGAATATGGTTGGGATGGAAACTCTCACTGTTCTCAATTTTCATGTGGTGGATTGAATAATTGTAACTCGAATGGTTTATGTGTTTCGAATAATACTTGCAGTTGCCAATCAGGATGGGCTGGAACTGATTGTTCTCAATTTACTTGTTCTGGCGCTAGCAATTGTTCAGATCATGGTTCCTGCATTTCGAATAATACTTGTCATTGCAATTCTGGTTGGAAAGGAAATGCCCAATGTTCCCAATTTACTTGTGAACTCACAAATGATTGTTCGAATCATGGCTTGTGTGTTTCGAATAATACTTGTCAATGTAGTTCAGGTTGGAATTTCATTAATTGTTCCATCAAAGAATGTCTCATTTCAATTGTTTCAGGTTCAAGAGAATTGATATGTGGAAATGATAATTCTTCTGGTCAACTGAAAACATTTAGCAGAATAACGACTCCAGTAATTGAAACAACAAGTTTCGAATTGAATGAAAATCAACATGTAAATGTTGATATTGGATCAAGAATAATGAATTTGGATCTATCTCAAGACAAGTATTTCATAACCTCTTCATGGACCAATTCGAATAATTTATTCTTTACCAATGTTTCCAATTTACTAATTCAAAACTCAGGTTCATCACTTATTCAAGCAGAACTTTCAACAAAAATCAAGTATTCTTTCACGCATCATTCAAATCTTGATATCATGTCATTTAACTATAATTGTTTAAGATTTGACATCCTGTCACATTTGTGGACAAATCAATCCATAACAACAAGCATTTCTCCACAAACTAACTCCATTACATGCACAACTATATTCATTTCTTCAGTAGTTGTTCAAAGAACTTTAATCCCTTCACCATCAATCTCACCAAAACACTCATCAAATCCATTTCCATCAATTTCACATGAAAATTCAATTCCACTCCCAAGCGATGAGACAATTACATTGAATATCCAACCTGGAGAATCAATTCTCTATCAAATAACTCTTCCATCCATGAAAAGACTTTCACTTTCGTGTAAAACAATTTCAGGAAGAGATTTAAATTTGTTTATTGGAGAAAATTTCAAACCGTCTTATGAAATGTACTCAAAAGTTATGAATTCTAATCAGGAAATGGATTTTGAAAATTGGAAGTCGATATACCAGGTGTTTTACATTCGAGTTCAAGGTTTGAAAGATTCAACAACTCAATTCACTATAAGAGCTTCAATTAGTCAACTGAGACAAGTGAATTCTTCGAGTGGAGCAAGAAATGATAATTACACCATTGGATTAATCGTCTCAAGTGTTATTTCACTTCTATTATTAATCATTACCATCCTAACTGTTCTTAGTTGTGTTTTCTATTGGAGAAAGAAACGTAAACTTATGGAAGAAACCAGAACGAAACTACTTTCAACTCCTAATTCGCTTCAGTATTCACCTCACCAACCGTATGAAATGGAGGAAGCATAAACTATTGAACTGTTTTATAAACACAAATAGAATTTATTGTAAAAGTTTAAAAAAATGTCTCAACACCAAGTTGATTTTACCCTCGCGGATCTTCCCACTGAAATTCATCATACAATTTTTTACTACCTCGATTATGTTCGTGATATTTGTTGTGATCAGTTATTGTATGTTCCGATGATTGAAATGCCATCAACATTGGAAGAATATGAACGGAATTGTATTGATCATGGTGAACAGGAATTTATTGATTTTGATCATCCTAGTCGCGTGCCTTTCTTTTTAGCCTGTCAATCACTGCTGAAATCTGTAAAATCATTCAGACCAATAGTTTTGAATTTAACACTACCATCAACAGAAAGGGGGCTCTGCAGATATTATTTGGACAAGTTATATATTGAAACATTTCAAAGAACTCCTTGGTTTAGAAGAGCAAAACCTGCATATCATTTTAGTAGTTATGATTGGAATGACGCATTTAGAGCACTATTTGAAAGGATGAAAAAGCTTTGTGGTGGTCATCCTTTGTTTAAAGTGGAATTTGTATCAGTTGCTTGTATTGTTGGCAGAAACTATACCTCTTTTGAATATGCTTATCATGGAGGATTTAATTTACACAAACTTATGGATCTAGTACCTAACCTTAAATATGCACTATTCGATTTCAACCCTTCATTAGTTTTATATGAAAGAAGTGAATCTTTGACCATTATTTATGCATCAAAGTCAGATTATTACCATTCAGCATTGGGACAAAAAAAGAACATTTACTTCTCATCCTTTGATTATGAAAGAAACCCAATAGTACCAATTGAAAAATTGAAAGGAGTATTTCCAAACAATTATCCAACAAATATTGAAATATTCCTCTACAATAGTATAGTATCAAATAATTTTAAGGAGGCAAAATATATTATCAACAATTTTACTCTTAATGCTAATATATTTTCCTATATATGGAATACCAAATCTTACATGACACGAGAACTCAACTATTATAATCTTACACAAATTATGGACATATTACATTTTTTTTACAAAAATTATCCATCTTTTAGAGTATTTAGAATTCCAATAGACAATATAGTATGCTTAAAACTAATTGTATCACAGCCATTTGTAGATATTCATGTTGGTAAGAATATTACCAAATTATTCCTAGAGAGAATGACTACTAAAGATGTTCAGGTACTATCTAGAGATTATAATGTTGATTTTTCCAAACTTGGTAATTTCAAATTCTCTGCTAATTGTTTTTTAGAAACAAATTTACAAATAGAAAATACTTGTGATATTTTTGGTGTATCCACGGCTATGTTTAGATTGGAAAGAGGCAGTAACATTATTGAGAAGGATAAGTTTGGAAATAATATCCTTCATTATATATTCTTGAATAGGAGAGGAAACAATTTATCGCAATCTCTTTCAAAGTTTTCACAAGAGGAAATTAAATTACTTGGAAAAGAGCCAAACATTTTCGGTATCACTGCAAATGAACTAGCGCTTATTAAGGGATGTGACTTTAAAATTGAAAGTTTTAATAAGAAATTCTGCTACGAGTCCTTTGGTAGAACCTGTGGCAGTTCAGATTTGCCTAGAATGTTACTATTTGATGGATTAATGGTTAATGAACAAATCTATTGTGTATTTATGAATAATTTACAAACCAGTAGATATGATTATGATCAATATAGAGATATCAACTTTAGAGATGAAAATGGAAAGCATTTGGTTCACTATTCCCCAAATTGTTTTAGTGAAAACACAGAGTGTTTGGGTTTAGAATTGAAAGATATTATCTTTTGCAAAGATAATAATCAAACAATGCCCATCCAAACATTTTACAATAGTTATCTTGTGGCTTTGGACAAGTTAGGACAAATTGAGAATATGCCCAAGTTGAACTTTTTTTCATATACTGATAACTTTGGAATGTGTCGATATTTATATTTATTGATGAATTCCTATATTAATACTCAGTTATTGGTATCAGAAGCTGATACTATTGGATTTGATTACTCTTCAGGTCAACCTGAACTTGTATCATTGTGTTCTCATTATTTGGATGGACTCTATCATTTTTCAATTGAAAAAAGCCCTTTGAAACAATTGAAAGGTATTAGATACTTTGGAAGTGTTGATGGAGATGATTTCTCACATTACGTATTGAGATATTATTTGGATTACATTAACAAAAACCCTACTTACTATCTAGACACTTCAACCCTCAAGGTTCTTATTGCTAGAGGACTAAAGTTTGATGTTGTTAGAAACTCACAAGGGCAAACAGCTTTTGATTTAATTGATCACTTAACAGGGACGACACAATTGAAACATATGAAGAAAGTATGTAGAAAAGGCCGTACCACAAAATCCAAGGCATTACCCAAATTTACAATCAAACACAATCCAATTCCAAAAGATGTTTTAATAGAGGATTCTGAAACAACACTTGTTGTTAAATCACAAAATGTTGCACCATTCCGTATTAGAATCAAACGCAGTTTAACATTTCACAAATAGCCTAGAAAATAATAAAATAAAGAAGTTCAGCAGAAACATCATATTGATAGATATCCAACAGGTGGTCTTACATCAGTATTAGCTGTTGATGAAAACAAAATGGGTTGGATTAACATTTAATTTGGCAGTTGACATTATTTCAATTAAGTTTTCTATTGGTTGAAAATGACGGGAAGCCTGCCAGGAATATGACGACAATCCCGCTACAGTCTTTGACTGTATGAACAGTGAAGGCAACGAAGACAGAATCTTGTTGGTTCAGGTTTTGTTTGAAGAAATTGTTAAAGTTGATCAACCTCATATTTATTGAACATTTGTCATGTTGAAATGCATGATGCAAATTTTGGTTTCTCATATTCTGATCAATTCTAAATTGAAACTTCATTATTTACAATTTACTGAATTATTTACAAGTTTTTAGATTTGGTAATTTTCTTAGTTGTGGTAGTAGATTGTTTAGCTCTCTTTTCAATTGAATTTTTAGAAGATCTTTTCACTGAAATTTGTTTACCATTTAAATTTGCATGATGATAATCAATATTATTACGATGTCTAGTTCCACTTATAATATTTGAAGTATCAATATCAAATAATGGTAATCTTTTAGATAAATCAATTGGTTTAGATCTTGTCCATTCTGTTTTTGTTGGAATTCTATCTTCGGAAGAATGTGATGAAGTATTTCTAGCTGGCATTTTGCTCTTAGTTCTTGTTATTAGGTTGTTTTGTTTTGTTGTGGAAATTTCATCATCCTATACCAGTTATCTATTTATTTCCATATTGATTTCCACTAATTTTGTGATTCCGATTTTTAGTGGATTTTCCACTCATCACAAGAATTTGAATTTTTCTATTAATATTAAGGAAATTTAATGAAAATCAACAAACAAAAGAAAATAACAAAATAACAATAAGAAAATGGTCTCAACAAGAAGAAATATGTATAATTCCTCCAATAATACTTCACAATTTAATTCCGAAATTTCTCTGGATAATATTATTGGTGGAACAAGAAGAAGAAATTTAATTGATTACAAAACATTGAATTCTATTGGAAGTGAAACAAGCAAAACTTCCAAATCTCAATCACATAACACTTTAGAAATGAGAAACAAACAATTCAAAATGTGGTAATCTCCATTTAACTCAAAATTTTGTAAACCTAGGCATTCATTGTAAATAAACCCAAAATATTGATATAAAGGAATACTCTCCTAATCAAATAAATTGTCTTATTCAACAATATCGTTCCGTTTCAATAGCATAATAACAAAGAGTTGCATTCCTCCTCTTAATTTCCTTATCGTTAACTTTTCCATTATGAATCGTTTTTCCAAAGTAACTAGTTCTGCCAGTTTTAAAATGTAAGCAGTGTATTCAATTTTTAAATTGCAATAATGTACATGTTGTTTATCCTCATTGAAACATAATGAAATGAATTCCTTTTTGAAAAGAAGATTTTGGGATTCCTATTTACTTTGATATCACAACATCCATACATGCATGTTGAATGAGAGGGTGTTTACATGTCCGTGTAGTTTTTTTCATCATTGGCGGTTCCAAAAGTTACAACGAGTTCCCATCTAATTATTTTAAGCAACACGATCAAGAGGGTTAAATGAGAATATTGTAAACTAATATCTCCCTTTTCCCTATGTGTTGTTATGAGTTCTATTCGATAGTTAGATGATACTGAGGTGTTACCATTCCTCTTACTGACTTCTCAATAAGGTTGTTCCACAAATGTTCAACCAATTCAATTCTCAGAAAACCATTGAACTCTATTAAACTCCATTGTAAATATTGTAATCTTACTCAGTCAAAATTACTATAAATTCAAATTGACAATTCTTTTTGATAAAAACAAAACAAACAAACAATAATATTCAATATTGAATTGTATCTGAAAACTCCTCAACAAACTTAAACTCAAAATGACTCAACAAACTCACGAAGAATTATTCAATGAAAACATGTGTGGAAGTGGTTTGGCATTCAAGAAGGTAGTTTGTGAATTATTCAACAATCGTATTGTCCCTGCGACCAAGAATCTTCAACAAGTCAACCCAAAGATGATCATCTTGTTGGATTGGGCTTCTCTTGCTGCATTGCCAAGTGAAACCAAATACAAGTATGGTGATAGATTTGTTGAAGATACCCTGTTGAATAATTGCATCAAATTCTTAATTGAAAGTCCAAGATTGAGCAATATGAGTGAAATTGCCAAGGTTTTCATCAAGGATCCTGATTGTAAGGAAGTTTTTATGGGATTGGAAAAGTTGATTTTCAGAGTTGTACACAATGCTGATAGTAAGGAATCTTCAGGTTTCCTTGGATATTCTTACAAGGTTAATGGTACTGATTTGGTTGTCACTTTGGATTGCAATTTGACTCTTGTTATGAAGGTTGCCAATGAAAGACAAAGCCCAACTGCTGATTCAGAAGCTAAAAAGTTGATTAATGCTTTCTAATTTTTTAAATGGCAGTACTCTATGAATCAACATTGATTTACCTAATAAAAAACCTTTATTTTTGAATTGTCAAAAAGACTACAGCACCACAGGTTCCCAAGTTGTCTCCAACCTCAGTACTGATGTGGCTCGACGATGCTTAACTTCTCAAATCGGACGGGATGAGGTGCATTCATCGTGATATGGCCGTAGCCATTCATTTTCTTAATTTGTGATATATAAAACATCTTCTTAAAATCTTAATGTTGAATAAGTCAATGAATTCTTTGTTCGCACACAGAATAGTAACTTTCAAATTCCGCTAAAAATTAGAACAAAAAAAATGAGTACAAACTTTTCTCAAGGTTTTCTGGTAAGAATGAAAGGAGAGCTAAAATTGCTCAAGAATCAACCTCCTCACGGAATTGCAGCCTATCCAAAGAATGAAGATCGTATCGATATTTTGGAAGCAAAAATACAAGGAACACAAGGTACACCCTATGAAGGTGGTGAATTTGTTTTGGAAATTACACTTCCGAATAATTATCCTCATCATCCTCCAAATGTTAGATTTATTACAAAGATTTATCATCCTAATTTTGATAGTGGAGGCAGAATTTGTTTGGATCTATTGAACATGCCACCAAAAGGAGCATGGAAGCCTAGTATTAATATTTCAACATTGTTGGCTTCTATTAAATTATTAATGGATGAACCGAATGGAGATGATGGATTAATGGCAGACATTACAGAACAATTTAGAAATAATAGACAATTATTTGAGAAGATTGCAAAGGAATGGACGAAAAAGTATGCAATTACAAGTTTTGTGACAACAGATTCATCGGAACAAACAAAGGAAGAAGAAAATAATGCAAAACCACCAGTTGAATCAAATGATAAATCATCGGAAAAGGAGAAGAAAGTAAGAAAGATTAATGACAGTAGCAGTAGTGATGATGATGATAGCAGTAGTAGCAGTGAAGATGAGGAAGAAGGACTATTCCACAAGAAAATGAAAAAGAGAAAGCTTTAATTTAGAATAATGAATTATTAGATTGGCTCTTTGTACTTGACTTGGCTCTGCTTGAGCTTGGTGGAGCACCCAAGAATCCCATATCAAAACCACCATCTCCTCCACCTGACTTTGATCCAGCGGAACCTGTTGCTTCAGTGGTTCTTCCTTTTGTCTTAACTTTAATGTTAACTTTGATCTTTTCACCTTCTCCTAAACTATAGTCCTTTTGTTCTTCTTCAACTGGATTTTCATCTTGATCTTTCACATTCTTAACCAATCTATTAAATTGTAAATAAATTGTAAAATTTAAATACGTACTTTTGGTGATCTTGCAAAGCAACATTGAAATCAAAAGCATCGGATCTTTCTCCAAAACCGATACCAATGAATGCATGCCTTCCTTTTTGTTTATCTTCAATTCTGAGAACAAAGTAACGACTAGAGTCTAAAACTCTTTCAATAGCTTGTGGTCCACTTTCATCAGTATTTACATTACAAGTGGCAAATCTCTTTTCAGTTGCTGGATCTTCAAGTCTGACTTCACAATGTTGTCCAATAGCAACAACCTTACATCTACCAGTCCAGAGAGGTTCTCCCCAGTTTTCAGCCTTATAACCTTCGGAAGAGGTTCTTGGAGGAATACGGAAGACATAAGTATTGTTTATAATACACAAAGTTTGTTCATATTCTAATGATGAGAGAAATTAAAAGAGAATTAATTTTGATGAGATTAATGATGGCCAGTTTAAAAAAAGGTGAGACGACGTATTACATGTTTCGCACAAAAAATCCAATACAAAAAACACGTACGGTTATTGAAGATAGAGTCAGTCATTTTTTTAAATTTGAAAATAACAGTTTTTTAGGAATTATTTCCAAAATTTATTTTTTTAACGGTGACGACAGCTAAATTATTTTTATTAATTTTGTGGAAGACAGTTCAATGAAAATTGGATGACAAATCGATAATGAATTTGAAGGATAACAAAAATTTAGATTTTTAGAATTTTAATAATTTAATAATTTAATTTTTTGCTTAGCTTATTTCTTAAAGAAGGATCTGATTTGTTCATTGACAACAGAAATTGGTTGTTCACCATTAATGTTTCTCACCAAACCCTTTTGATTATAATATCCGAGAACCTTATCAGCGTATCCGTGATAAGTCTTCAAACGATTTCTAATAATATTTTCATTGTCATCAGGTCTTTGAGTGAGTGGTTCTCCAGTTACGTCATCCAAACCATCGACTTTTGGTGGTTTAAAGAATTTGTTATATGTACGACCAGATGTAAGGTGAGTCAATCTTCCACTAACTCGTTTAACAACAACTTCATCAGAGACTCCTAAATTGAGAACATGTTCTACAGAAGTATTTCTATCACTCAACATTTGATCCAACTATTAGAATAAAACAATAAATTATCCATTTTCCGAAAAGGAAACAAGGTGATAGAGCATAATTCAATGTCGGACCAAAGGAATCCATTCAAACAAAGTTTGTTCAGGGAACAAATTGAAAATTTCAATACTTACAGCTTCAGCTTGTGGTACTGTACGTGGGAAACCATCGAGAATGAAACCATATCTACAAGCAGGAGAACCAATACTATCCCTAATGATACCAATGACAATATCATCACTGACAAGTTCACCAGCATCAATCTTAGCTTTAGCCTTCAAACCCATTTCTGTTTGGTTTCTTACGGCATCTCTCAACATATCACCTGTAGACAAATGGCAAGCTTCATATTCCTTGGATAATTGAATAGCTTGAGTACCCTTTCCTAAAGATAACAATTAATACTATTGAAAAATTTCCTACTATTATACTAACCTGAACCTGGAGGACCAAAGAAAACAAATCTATTTCTATGTTCAGACATTTTATATGAGTTAAAAGTGTATTGATGAAAATGAGTCGACGCGGCAGGGGCACAATCGAAATATTTTTTTTGATTTAATTTTTATGATGCGATGCAAGTCTTCATCGAAGCAAGCAACAGCAGCAGAAGAAGAAGTATCAATCTCATCCATCTGCTTGGTTTTTTACGGTGTGGCTGATGATGACAAATAGCAAAACAACTTTCGTGCTCGGTGGTTTTATCAAAAATGTTGGAACAATGCACCGAGAATAAGAATCACCCACTCTTACTAATAAGAAAATACGATCCGTTGCTACCAGCCTTCTCAATACAAGTCAATCAATTTGGTGCACGTGTGTCTCAAGGTAAGTAGCCGACAGTTTGGTTCTTGGTGAGCAACAGCAAGCAACTTGAACATTGTAAGGAATTCTGGTCAACCTACCAATACTATTTATTGTCTACTAATGAAGTTGTTAGTGTAATAATTCCCTCAGATAGCAACAGTATTAAAGTCAATTCTCCATTATTTTGATTGAATGTAGAGTGTATTACTGAATCAAGAGATTTTTCATTGGAAAAACCGAAAAATACACATCAGACGTTATCATACATTGTAAACATGAGGGCTCGATCAAGAAAATTCCTTCGTATCGTTAGGAATACCTTCTATTAACAGTAATAAGGAATTCATCTTACAATTAAGGTTCACTTTCAGAGAAGAATTCTATTTTTAGATAAGAGAACTGAAAAACAGATTAAAATTCGAAAATGATGTAAACAATTAAAATTAATTAAAAAAATGATCAGCTCATCAAATAATACATCAACAGCCAACACAACAAGAGGGCAGATAAGATGTGGAAAATTGAATCACACTCCGGATCTAGAAGGATACATTGTTGTGAATTGTTGTTCCACTGCTAAAGATCAATTATATAAACAATTGTCTCCCATGTTATTGGGCCCATATGAATACGAAATGGATGCTACTGATTATCCTCTCGATGAGAAAAACAAACCTTCTAAAAAAGTTGTAATTCATAATTTGGAAAACTTTTGGCAATTTTCTAAAGTTTGGGAAGGAGAGGAAGAAAGTTTTTACAATGAAAAGACCAAAACTAATGAATTGAGACCAAATAGATTGTTTTTCGAGAGAAGAGCTGAAGGTTGGAATGATAAGAAGGCACACAGGTAGGTCTATTAATTTTAATCATGCATTTACATCATTTTCACAATTAATATTCTCAAAGATGGGTCAAGAAGGGAGAAAAGACATTGTATGCCTGGTGGCATGGAGAAAAGCTCGATTACATGGCTGGTAGAAGAAGAATCTACTGTCCACTCTATGCTGAGAAGGTAGTTCACATTGAAGGATTTAAAAAGGTTCAAAATCTCCTCAATAAGGGACACAATATTTTAATTCTTGGTTATGATGGTTACGATTATCATGCTGAGAATATGACACTTCAAGATTGTTTCAATGATGTTTCAAGACCATTCGGTCACGAATTGGTATTGTGTGGCTTGTTAACTAATGATCATGTTTGGGAGTAAAAAGAAAATTTTACAATAAAAAAATGCCTCCAAACCAATCATTAACAACACCTATTAATGTTGTCACAGCAACGTATTTGGACCCGAAAAAAGTGAGTTTTTGATGATCATCACATATCGGAAATATATTTATTCTAGTATTCTAAATTTCTAAATATTTGGATTTATCTAGGAGTGTTGTACGGAGTGCAATATTTGCAATATTTATATGTAAATAGGAAAAGTAAAGAGTGGGATGTAAAATTAAAGAAATGGATAGAACTTGTACAAAAGTGGAAACGAGGAGAATTACAACAATATGATTGGAATTCATATAAATATGATATATTACCACAGTCTATTTATTCTACTCTTTCAGTTTTTTCAAAAGCCTACATGGAAAATAAGGAAGAGGAAGTTAAATTACCACCTACGTTATTGATGGGAGCATCATTTGTAAATTCATTGGAAAATGTAGTTTTTGGAACTGAAAAGAAAGATACAATTTCAAAAGGAGATGAATTATTTTCAATTAAAGATCTGGACCAAAATACTAATAATTCAACAATAGAGGCCATGGCAGAACAAGCTACTCATTCAATAATGGAAAAATTTGAAAAACTAAATGAATGGAATGATTTTGATTATCAACAATATTTTGCGACGAAATCGCCACCGTGGAAATCGAGATTTATCTTCAACCCCAATGAAGAGATTCCATCTATTGAGGATATAAAACAAAATGAAGACTTGAGAATTGACACATTAGGCGAGCAACCACATGAATTTGACAAGTATTTATTTGAGGATTTTCTGGACCATATGGATCCTTTTATTAATCATCAACTTGCCAAACCTTCACTAAGTATGATTAGAGGTAAACAGGGTACTCTCTTCAATCCATCTCGAGTTCACTACATTCTCAATGACATTGAAAATGACAGAAGAAGAATCATCAGAAATGCTATTGATTCAATAAAATTAAACAAGGTGCAATAATAACATTCCTATTTCTAATCAAATTAATATTGATGAAGCATGATAATAGCCACCTTCAATTTAAATTTTAAATCAAATTCAACAAATCCGAAGCCATCATGATGAAGGTAAAAAAGAACATCAAAAAAAATATTCAAAAAATAAATTGAAAAAAAATGCCATCATCAAAAGAAGAACGAAAATCTTCATCATCAAAAATTGCCGATAAACCTAAATATGAATTGCTCACAGACAAGGACTTTAAGAGAGCAGAACAATTAACTGAGGAAAAAAAGCTACAAGATAAAGATTTTCAAGACAAGGAAAAGAAACAAAGAAAGGAAAGAAATGAATTCTTGTTTAAAAAGACCAAGAATTTGTTAAAAACCTACGAGAAATCTAAATTTTATCAAAAGACGAAACTTTTAACAAATGATGCACTTGATAAGTATAAAAGAAAGAGTACAATCGATGAAAAACCAATCCCTAAAAGGGAGATGGCATTCTACCAATATAAAAACAAATTAGCTAACAAACAAGAAGTTTCAAGGAATATCCTTTGGACTGATGTCGATCGTTCGAAAGCTGAAGCAAGATTGGCTAGATCCGAAGTTTTGAGAACCAAAGAAAATGAAGAAAGAGGTATTGAATTGGATGATAGTGATATTTACTCTAAAACATATCAACTTTCACAGGAAGCAATTTTGAAGGATGTAGATGAAAATACTAGAAAGAAAATATTTGATATTGAACTTACACAATATTCACCGTATAAGATTCAATATAGTTTGAGTGGTAGAAAATTACTTTTGGGTGGTGTGAAAGGTCACATTTCAACATTGGATTGGAGAAAATTTGAAATGCTTCATGAAAATCATTTCAGTGAACCATGTAAGGCAGTTCAATGGTTGATGGATGATGGCATGTATGCTGTTGCTCAATCACCATTTACCTATGTTTATAATGAACAAGGTGTAGAAATTCACATGTGTAGAGATTTCCATAAGGTTGAATTCCTTTCTTACTTACCTTTCCATTATTTACTTGTTGGTGCTAGTAGACAACAAAATTTACCAACAGGAAATAGTGGTCAAATCATTTTCAAGGATATTTCATTGGGTGAAAACGTATCAACAGTTAAATTAGATCCAATTTCATGCATGACACCAAATCCATATAATGCTGTTATGTGTGTTGGTCATTTGAATGGTACTGTTTCAATGGTATTACCTCGTGATAAGGATTACAAACCAGTCGTTTCCATGTTCTGTCATCAAGCTCCAATTAAACATTTGGCAGTTGATCCAACAGGTCGTTATATGGTTACAAGTGCTGCTGATGATAAGGTTAAAGTTTGGGATATTAGAAATACCTATCAACCATTGACAACAGTTGATACTCTTGAACATCTTAATCAAATTAGACCAAAGAATGGCGATCATATTACTTCTATGGCTGTTTCACAATCGGGAATGGTTGCTGTTTCACTTAAACATACAGTAGCAATATGGAAGAATTTGACTCACATAAATCAAGCTGATAAGGAAATTTACTTGCTTCACAAGATGCCAAATCATACCACAGTTTCAGATTTATCATTCTGCCCATATGAAGATATTCTTGGTGTTGGTCATTCTAGAGGATTCAGTAGTTTAATTGTTCCAGGTTCTGGTTCAAGCTCTTACGATTCTAGAATGCCTAATCCTTACTTTACTGATAAACAAGTTAAGGACTTTAACGTGAGAACCTTGCTTGAAAAGATTCCATATGAAATGATTTGTTTGGATCCAACAGTGATTGGTACATCAGGTATGAGAGAAAAGGATCACTCCTACTCATCTCAAGTTGAAATCTCAGAAGAATTGAAACAAGAATTGAGCAGAGTTGGTCTCAAGGAAGAAGAAAGAAAAGAAGCTGAAAAGAGAAAACGTTTAACCTCAAGAGATCAATACAGAGAAGAACTCTTTAACAAATATCAAGAAATGAAAGCAGCCATACCAAAGAATTGGTATGATGAAGAAGATGCTGATGCTTTGGATCGTTTTGCCTCATTAAAGAAGAGAAAGATAAAGTACGACGAAAAGAAGAGAGAAGATACTCGAAAGCAACAAGAACAAACTGAAGAATCAGATAGAGTCAAACAATTGAAGAGACAATTGAGTGGCGATGATTCTGGAGATGAGGAAGAATCATCTGGTGATGAAGACGAAAATATGCTCAAATTATCATCTTCAGGAAAGAAGAAGCAACAAGAAGGCGACGAAGATGATGAGGAACAAGACGATGAAGAACAAATGGACAATCAAGCTGATGACGACGAAGATGAGGAAGAACAAGAAGACGACGAAGACCAACAAGCAAACATTTCAGAGGAATCTGATGATTACGAAAGCGATGAAAGTGAGGAAGAAGACACCAACTCAATAATTGATCCATTCGCATAAATGTACAAAAATTCTCTAAATTCTCTAAATTCAATTATTAAGCTAGCTCAAATTCTACCAAATCCTTCAATGGTTTGGAAATAGTAAATTTCTTGTAATCCAGATATTTTTCATCACCATGATATTAATAGCATTTGCCAACAAATCTTCAGAAAAAAAAATGTCAAATACAGAGAAGCTTCCTTCATCACATCAAAGCATGATGAGGAGATTTTCCTCCTCTTCCCTGATGATGATCGTGATGAGTTTAATGATTGTAGTAATGTTACTCCGATCGGAAGTTAATGCCTTCTCCTATAGAAATGCTCCACAAGGAATACATATTGCTCTAACAGGAGTAGAAAGCGAAATGTCGGTTATGTTCTTTACCCAACTCAAATCAAAGAATTATCAAATTATTTATTCAACTTCTAGTAATTTGGATATATTGGATGTTAAAGTTAAACAAGAGGTTGAACATTACAAGTATATTGTCTATCAAGTACCTGGAATGTATGAAGAACTTACAGTTCATGAATTTATTCTTAAAGGCCTTCCACCAGCAACAAAGATTTATTACAGGATTGCAATGAAAAATGATGAAACAACAACAAGTGAAACATTCTCTTTCATTACTCAAAAATCAAGAAGTGAATTATTGAAGAGTGATGAACCTTTCCAATTTTTGGTTTATGGTGATATGGATATTTTCAATGATGGACAAAATACTATTGATTCAATTATGAGAAATCACATGAAGGATACTCAATTCATTCTCCATATTGGTGATATTCCTTATGTTTGGAATCATGAACATGAATACAAGTGGGAAAAGTGGTTTGATATGATTGAACCAATTACTTCTGCAATGCCATACATTGTTTGTAACGGTAATCATGGTAAGTTTTATTTCATGTAATGAAAATTTACAATAATTGTAACTAGAAAACGCTTCTAACTTTACCTCTTACAAGACCAGATTCACTAATAGTACTGTTTCAGTAACAACCAAGTCAAATACTCAATCAAACTTGTATTATTCATTTGATTATGGTTCAATTCACTTTATTACTATTAGTAGTGAACATGATTATGCTTTGCAAACAAGATGGATGGAGGAAGATCTTGCAAAGGTCAATAGAGAAGAAACTCCATTCATTATTTTCTACTCACACAGACCAATGTATAGCAGTAATGAAAACCATGGAAGTTATGACCCAATCAGAATTGCAGTTGAACCTCTTTTGAGAAAGTATAAGGTTGACTTGGCATTATTTGGTCACGTTCATGCTTATGGTAAGTAGTGATATCATCTTGTGTAATAATGTTTACTAATTTTATTAACAACAGAGAGAACTTGTCCAATCTCGGAACAAGGTGTTTGTGACAAGAAGAAGCACAGAAATTACTTTAAGAATGCTGATGGTACCATTCACATCCATGTTGGCACAGCAGGTTTTGAACTTAATCAAAAATGGGATCCAAAACCTGAATGGAGTACATACAGAGAAACTAATCATGGTTATCTCAGAATTAAAGTTTTTGGCAAACGTGCTCTTTCTGTCGAATTTTTGAGAAATGGTGTTACAACAGCTGACAGTTTTTTGATTGAGAAATAAATTGGTGGTCGTTTTTATTAATTTCTTTGAGGAAGTATTCTTGACAATACTTTCTGAACACAATCAAAAAATACAGAACTAATGACATTCAACTGTCAAGGGGTTTGGAATAAAGATGATTAAGATATAAGGATTCATTTATTTTTTTTCAAATACATTCAATTGATTGAAAAACAGATTGATTAGATAGATTTACATGGATAAAAATTTACTTGGTTTCTCGAAAACTACAATAAGACCAATTCATGTTACATTCACAATTATAAGAGAAGTTTTCTCAGTGCAGTGAATGTTGCAACTTGATTATTAGAAGCAAATTGTTTAACTTTCAGCAAACTTTGATAAAGAGCTCCAACAGTAATTCCCTGTTTGTTCAAATCTTCGACAAGAGGTGCTAATACTTCCACTTCTTTTCTTTGGAATGAATAATAAACTAAACTCTTTTGAGCTAAAGAAGCAGAAATTACTTGAATGATTGCCTTCAACTCCACGTCACCCAAGAATGCCCCACATCCCCAGTTTCCAGTTGAAATCTTATCCATTGTCTTGGAAGATGAGAAACCAGAGAGAGATTTGATAATTTCTCTATCAATGGTTTCCTTTTCCCATTGTGAAAGGAAATTTAACTTATTGAATATCAAAGCATCAATAGCACTAGTTTGTTTCAATGAATTTCCATTTGAATCCTTATTCAAATCTATAAAATTACCAGCATAATCCAAACTAAACGCATAACCCTTGTGTTTAGAATATTGCTCAGCACCAGTAATTAAAATAGATTCCCTATCACCCATGACATGACAGAACAATCTGGCAATATTCATTTCAGGACACAATGAGAATTCAATTTCTTCTTGAACTATGTCGAATATTGATTAGTTGAATCACATATAGTATACATACCACATCCAAATGAAATAGAAGCTCCTCCAATAAATTTGTTAGCAAAATCAATTTGAACTGCATCATGAGAATCAGCAATAGATCCCTGACTATTAACATGAACGTCACATAGTGGCAAATCGCTATATTCAAAGCTTGGAATTGGAGTCAAATAATGTCTTGTAAATGAAATGCCAAGATTTGGATTTGATGAATAATCAGCAAAACTCTTATGAACTCTAGCAAAATAGTTCAATAACATCATTGTCTTGGCAAATTGAGGTCTAAAATTAGGGAATTTTCCATACATTTCATCATAATTAATTGATGGGAAATATTTCCACAATGGATCATAACTGAGTCTATACCAAGTACAGAAAAAGCTATTTGCTAAAATACATGCAGCTCCAAGTTTAGAAATTGTTAAAGTTTTCGATTCTCCCTTCTTTAAATATTGAATTGATTGTTTAGGAAGATAATCCTCACTCTTTAATACTAAATGTGCAATAAATGGAATAACAGTACTCAAGAAATCATCACTATTATAATCGTCAGGATAATATTGTTCCTCAAATAATTCCATAGCTTGATATAATACAAGATACTTGTCGGGATTTTCATCTTCCTTCTTAGGCTTTCCGAAATGATTCACCTTGATCGATTCAATAATATCAATTACTAATTGTTTGGTGATGGATTTCGGATCTTGTACCATAGGTTGTAATTTTGATTGTATAAATGGCCATGATGAATATTCGTATGGAAATTGAACATGTTCGAGCGTGGCTTCGTGATCTTGTGTGACAATGATTTGGGACATTTTTTTTTAATTGTTTACAACTCACTGGAGAGAGAAACGTGAACTTTGTAGAGTTTACAAAACAAATGAACCAGAGTTCAGTTTGCAAAGATTTACAAAATTCAATGTGTGTTATTTTCATTGATCCATTTCTTAAAGTTTTGATTGTCTCTTGTCAATGAGAGAGTAATCATTTGGTCCATAAATTTCCAATCTGTGATATGAATTAGGAATGCCACTGATATTGTCTGATGACTTGTGGAGACAATCTCCTGGTAAAATGATTATTTGCTTTGGAATTCTTTCTCCATAAACTCCTCTAACTGATTCATCCTTGTTATTAATCATTATTGGAAGAATTGGTTGATGATTGAGATCAACATTCTTATTTCTGGACTCCTCAATGATATGATTCCATGTTTGATATTTACATAAATGATTCAATATACAATAAGTTGGAGGTGCCAAGAGAATTTTCTTTTGTACAAAACTTGAAATTGCTTCATCTGGTGACATCCATACAGAGTTGACATTCTCACTTCCATCGTGTGAAATGTCAAATTCAAAATCTTGTTCACTCTTTGGATTGGAAATGTAAAATTTAGTATCAAATCTAGATGGTGCCAATTCTGGAGTAATCCATCTCTGATATGGAATTAATGAATCAAGATCCAATGTCAAATTATATTGAGATAGCATTTGTTTGAATTGATTGGCTTCATTGTGAACTACATTTCTCCAATTATTTTGCATAATCTCTTTAACTGGAACCTTTTCCTTGCAAACCAAAAATCCAGCTGTATTTTCAATTGTTAAATATTAACAATTCGAAGATTTTCACATTTTACAAACCTTCTTCAAAAGATTCTCTGATAGCACAAACTTTATCCTCATCTCCTAATTGACCATCAGTAGTCTCCAAAGCACCACCAGGAAAAGTACTACTCTTTGCAAAACTCTTTGATGATTCATTTCTCTCCAATAACAATAATTTATAATCAAAACTTGAATTGGATGATGAAAAATTGTAATTTCTCCTTTTCAACCATTCGACAGGAACAAGATAAATTAGAGAGGAAGCTCTTCTCGGAATTGATGGAGGCATTTGTTTTTTCTAAAATTATGATTAAATACAGTGATGCAGACGATTCCTTTGAATGTGATGTATTTTTTTATATTGTTCTAACGTTTAATTGTTGATTGATTACAAGTAATATTAAGAGTTGAATAATATGGTATGAATTATTGGTTGTTTCACATTCCATGACTCAATAACAAAATATTATAAGCAAGTGAGAGAAAGCAGATAAGATCCATTCTCCAATATTTGAAATGGATAATGACCCTTTTCAAAACGTAGAACACATGGATAACCACAATTTCAAATTGCAAAGATGAATTTCAACAACAATTGGTTGTAATTTAAATCCTTCCTTATCAGAAAGTTATTAGACACTAATCAATTCTCATCATTTCAAAGTAAACAAATACAATTCAATCTAATACCTTATTCTTTTAGTTTCCCCATCAATTATGTTCTTCATTAAATTGGATTCAAAGCTGGTCCTTTCCTCATTTGATGATTATGATGACGACCAAGGCAGCATTATTTTGCTTTCATCCCGAAGTTGAATTTTTTGAAAAAATATTTGAACTCAAAATCAAGCAAAATAGGACAAGAAAACGCTTTTTTCAATAGAGAGCAAGAATTTAGCTCGTCAGCAGAGTTGTTTAAATTTATAATATTATTGAAAATATTGTGATATATAATTTATTTTGTTATTATTATTATTAGTGCGAGATAGTTGGTAAACTGCTATTTATATGATAACCAACAACAACAACAATATAAGACTGTAGAATTTTTATTAACCGCAAAGATGCAGTTAAATCTTAACTATTTTGTGAGAGTGTTTATGCTCAAACTGTGGTTTTTAATTTTCAATTATCCACTTTCTCTACTTACGGCCATCCTTTCCATGATGATAATTTATAGAGCTTCACAGAAGAAGAATTCGCCTCTTCCTCTCGATAAAAGATTACCTATTGAAGATAGTAGTAGTGGTACAACACTTGGATCATCAGGAATAGGTTCTCTTATATCTAATTCTGTTAATTCTGTTGCTGATGTAACAACAGTGACTTCTTCATCTAATAACAACAACAACAACAACTGGTCGGCCACAGTTGCTTCAATTTATAGTTCTTCATCTGATGATGAAACGGAAAAACCAACATCAAGATTTACTAGTTTTATTAATTATTTCTGGGGAGGAGGAAAAACTCATCACAACGTTGATGACAATATCAGCACAACAAGTACATCATCAGAAAATTCAACAATCTCCCCAGCTGATGGTAATCATATGTATTCCATGTTTGATAATGTTGATTCTAATGATCCAAACCAAAGTAATCTTTTACGATGTCCTCCTAAATTATTAGAAGATCCAATGAAGTTGTTGGGAAGAACTGTCTTGATGGTAGGAGGTTGTTGTGAAGGTGTAGGATATGAAATTGCTTATGCACTTGCACAGTTAGGTGCTAGAAAGGTTGTTTTAGCTTGTGCAAATGAACATGAAGCCCAAGAAGCAATCGAGAAAATGACAGATATTAGTCGAGGAGTTGTTGAATTTATGCATCTAGATTTATCTTCCATTCAAAGTATACGTCAATTTGTTAATTTCTATCAAAATGTTATGAATTATGAGTGCCACGTCCTAGTTAGTACTGTTCTTTGCACAAGACAGAGTAACATGGGAAAGAACACTTCTAATAATAACAGTAGTAGACAATTACAAAACCAATTTATTGGTCCTAGATTTACCAAAGATGGTTATGAAAAAAACTTCCAACTCAATTATTTGGGAAGAATTATTCTTATTGATATGATGTCGGATATGTTAAAGAGAAATCATACAAGGGTTGTTAATGTTGTGGAAATATTAAGTGAATCCCTTAAACAACAAAAACCTATGAAAATGATACCTAACTCTGATTTGAATGCTAGTACATTCAAGAAAGCATATACTGAACAAGACTATTTTAATTACTCTATGAGATGTAATTTATTATGGATTAAAATGTTTGCAAAGAAATATCAACAAGATGGTGTGACAATTTGTTGTTGCGACCCTGAACTTCCTGGAACCTACAAACCTCCAATTCCTGATATTATTAATCAACCTACCTCTACTTCCTCACTTCTTTCAGATCCATATTTTATGGATCCAAACTCACATGATGTATTGTCAATCACTAATGAATACGCTGAAGAAATTACCAATTTTGATAAGATACAAAGTTTACTTTATGGGTCACTATGTGATAAGCAATATTTTGAAAATGGTGCCTACATAACGAATTATAGAACTAAAAAACTTCCTTCCTCCTATTCGAATAAGAAAGATATGGAGCTGAATTGGGAACAAACAGCTTCACTCGTAACAGAGATACAGAGTTCTGTCATTTCTCAACACTCCTCTCCTTCAATCAGTGTTAATTCTTCTCCTACCCTTCCCATCCCTTCCTCCTCTCAGAACGAACCATAAAACCCAATTTTCAACAAGTGAAAGAATCAATTATTTTATTAATCATCATCTACAGTAATCAATTTTTCGAAGAAGAAACAATAGATTTGCGTTTTTTGTCTTGTTCATGGAAGTACAAGAATGTCCACTTTACAAAATTTCCTTCTTATTCAAATACGCACCATCAACAAGTTCATCAGAGGAAGATAACAAGGTAAACAACGTGTTAAAAATGTGTGGCTTCTCTGTGTTTACTTTCGCTGGCGTTGTCAAAATTGTTCTATAAATACATCCGTACAAAAAACACATGGTAAAAAAAATGTTCAAAACAACACCGTACCTATTAACAACAGCACACAACATCTCCCACCAATGTCCTTCATTCACTACAATCCACTGGATGGAACTTCACCAAAGAAGAAGCAATTAACATTGGATGAACTGAAGTCCGTTCTTCACTTAAGCCAAGAGCAAGCTGCTAAAGTACTTGGTACATCTTCTTTCAAACTTCGCTCTTTATTCAAGAAGCATAGAGAGGAGCTTTCTATGGTTAGATGGCCAACACAAAAGGCTAGACAACAAATGCTAACCAATAACAACAACAACAACAACATCATAGTGAAGGAAGAAGAAGAATTTCCTAGAGATGAAAATGACTTTCCAATCTTTAAAAAATCTCTCATATACAAGCAACAAATCAAAAAGGGCAATAATCCATTCACTTCTATTGAACCTAAAATATTATATCTTCCTTCTCCACTTGAAAATAATCAACATAATGTTAACCATGAATCAATTTATTCCGGTTATACAGATGATGATAAGATTTTCACCTTTAACAAATATGAACTACAAGATTTCTTACATTTTTTGGAAATGAAAAGATTGGAAAAGGATATTTGTGATCGTATGATTGGTAGAGTAGCAAATGGATTCAAGAAAGTTGTATTCTGTATGCCAGTTTCAAAGTGTACCAGAAATGTATTTACCAGTTACTTTGATATGTATGGAGAACATTGTACAATTAGAAGTAGAAAGGTTCTTGGATACGATTCTATTGGCTGTTTTACAAAAAGAAATGTTTCAAGATATGTGTTTGAATTTCCATATTTACCAACATTCGGAAATGGACGATGGACTTTGAATCAATATAGTTTAGATAATAATAATTATGAATCGGAATTTGAAGATGGGGAAGGAATAACAATATTCAACGATTCTACATCAACAACAAGTAGTACATCATCAAATGATTTCAGTTTTCCAGTTATCGAAGACAATGATTATTCATTTTTAGGAGAGGAGTTGAATGAGTTTAATGAACATTGCAATAGACAATTGGAATTCATGGAAGGATGGGATCATGTTCGAAACATGGTTTATAGATTAAGTGTTTCTCATAATTCAATCACTCAACTGGTTACAGTTTCATTCGGAATGATTTCTTTGAAGTTGTGGTATGATGGAACCTATAAAGAAACATTTTAATAAAGTATAACATTTAATCTATCACTTCTATACCATCATTATCACTTACATCAACAAGTTCAACAATAACATTAATCAACTTCAACTTCTGATTCACCTAACAAAGTATTTTTTGACCCTGCAGTAAAAATAAAAAATTTATTGCAGGGTCAAAAAAATGCTTAAACAACCCAAACGCAAAAAACAAAAACAGGACCATCAAAACACAACTTCATCAATAACAACATCAACCCCAACAACATCAACAACAACAACAACAACTTCATCGATTAGAAAGTGTATTGTTAATTGTATCAATAATCAAATACACTTTTCTAAATCGGAAACACTAGTAACTTTATTAAAAGATTCAATGAATAAGAAGGAGTCATCAAATGAAATTTGTATTGTTTGTAAAAACGGAACACCAGATAGTCATAAAGTTAGACCCTATGATCATTTTAAACCACATTCTAAAAAGATTATTAAATTATCAAATAATATTCCTATTAAATCTATTAATAATTATGATGAGTTAATTAAAGAAATGATTAGTAATAATTTTGCTAAATTTAAGAATAATAATAATATTATTGAACAATATAATGATTATGTTAATACTAAATTACAATTAAATGATGAAGAAAAAGAATTAATATTTACAAATAATTTTTTTAACAAATTTAATTTTAAACATGATAGGCTCGATACTTTAGATTATTTACATAAAATTAATACACTACAACAAAAAATTAATACAGCTATTTGTCTTCAAATTCTTTTAAAGAATTTTGTTTCGAAGATAAAAAATTCTGAATAGTTTCATGTAGAATTCCAATATCATCAAATAATAATACTTCATTTGTTTCATTAGAAGTTCTTTCTTTCAAATTTGGTAAAATAATATTATCCTTAAAAAAGTAAAATATTTTAAATCCAGTTATTACTAAATGAATATTAAATAATTGACGTTTAAAATCAGTAGTATCTGAATGTAAATGAGAGCCATTAGTTGAATCTGTAGATATCCATAGATCAGTCCATTCAGTACATAATTTAGAATCTTTAATTAATGGTGAAATGGACTTGAATTATGTATTGTTGGACCTGGCCAAAGTATTGTGTTTAAAGAACATGTTCCTCATGGAACCTTTAATTGGGGTCCTATTACAATAAGTTTTGGACAAACTTATTTTGGAAATGAAATTGAAAAATTGATTTTCAATAAGAATCCAAATGATATTTCTTTATTGATTCAGGAATGTGCAATTTAAGTAATTATTTGTGGAGAAGTGATGATGATAAGCAAGTTTCAATTATAGAAAGAACTCCTATGAAAAGTTCTAAAGTTAATGAGTCATTTATTATTGATTGCAGCCCGCCAACAACAGTTCTTCTTAACAAACCAAGTACCACTACCATAATTCCAACCAGTGACGAAACTTTGGTAAATAGATCTCCATCAACCAAAAGAAAAGTAGATGCAATTAATGTGAAGGAATTATCAAAGAAAGCTGTTAAAGCTATCAAGACAGATAATGAACAAAACGATTATACTATGTCAGAAACTTCATTACTTTTACAAGAATTAACAGATATTCTTTCAGATAGAGAAGAAAGAGATGCTTTAAAAAGAAAAGTTGAGCTAGAAGAAGGTTTTTATGAGTATTGTATGCAATTTTATCAAAAGATTATTACAGAAAATAAGAAAAAGATGGAATTGTTAGAAAATCAATTCGGTGAAATAGAGGCATTATCTATTGAAGTATCTTCCTATATCACTAAAAGACGAGAGAAACTAGAAATACAAGATAAAATAGAACACGCTGCTATCAAAGAAGAATTGAAAAAGCTTTTTGCAGAAGAAAAATAAACTATTTTCATGACTTTACATTTATTTACATTTATTTACGTTTATTTACATTTATTTACGTTTATTTATATCAAATAATTACAAATAGTAATGTCTTTTTAAGTTTATTTACGTTTATTGAAATATTAACGTTTATTTATATATATTACTATTTGTTGAATAAATTAACAGTATTTATTATTAATAAAACCTAGTTTAATGTTTAATCATAATGAAGCAAACAATTTGTATTAAATAATAATCATTTGATACATAATAATACATAATCTTCCGGCATGGAATAATAGGTGCCTGCAGTATTTATTTTTAAAATACTGCAGGTATTAATTATCAGCCGAGTTTTTTTGCACAGCCATCGCTGGGAGGTTTTTACCACCCTCTCATTTTAACATGTCAAACACCACAGAATCAGACAAACTTCACAATGATGAAGCAGTGTGCGTCTCGTCATCCGATGAAGAAGAATTTATCAGCAAGGATAAGCAAAAAGGTCACAAGGGAGTATTTATTGAAATCGGAGAACGTATGAAAAGATATGAAGCCAATCAAGGATTATTCTTGGATGAAACCAAGCCGTATATGGCCAGATTGGATGGTCATAAATTCTCAACATTTGCTCGTCCATTTAGGTATGTAATGATATGAATTGATTGTATTAAATTAATTCTTGATATTCAGAAAGCCATATGATAACTTGTTGCATGCAGTCATGGTTCAAACAGCTGCTGATCTGTGGAACAATTTAATGATG